CCCTACCCCTCGTAAATGCGCATCCTCTTTCATCGTGATCTTTTGTATCACTTGTTATTAATGCGGGTTTGCATTGATTGTAGTGATCGTAGTGTTGGCCATACCTATTAAAATAGAAAATGAATGTTATAAATGTAATATTAATTATATTATTTTACTAAATTTACCTGGCCCCTCACAATTGATATATTAGGTGAATTTTGATACATAGAGACATTAATAATTGTCTGTTTGTTATTATTGATTATAGTGTAACATTTAATCGCCAATTTTGATATTAGGTCAGTAAATATAATATACGAAAATCCAAACCATAGGCCGAGAAGTGATCCGATGAACACAACGTACTCTTCAAATGACATTTTCAGTGATATCTCGTACACGACATCCGGTTTTGGGGGTAAATTTAGCCAAATTGTAGTATCATTTTTGACATGTTTAGGAATAGTCAACGTATAATCGACAGTATAATAATGTCTAATACAGTCAATACGATCACTGCATTCGCGCCGACAGTTATATTCCATCGTATCGTCGCTTTTATGGCCAAATTGTGTCACATTATATGCCTTATAATCGCTATTATTATACATAATAAAATTATTGGGAAATTTTGAATGCGTTTGACTATACTCTCGGATTATGCACTCATTGAGACAATCGCGTTCATCTATTTCATCCGGGAAGCATTTACCACGAAGTTTGTGATTGTATTTAATGGTAGTTTTACTATACTTAATATTACCACCATCGCTCCAAGCGAAGTCAAGTATGGCAAAGTCTCTGCGGGAATATTCCCTGATTTGTTCCCTCCGGGAATGTATGAATACATAGTACCACTGGAAACGTCGTGTGAAATGCAATCGCATTATAATAACATTTTCTAACTCTTGAATACCAGTCGTGTTTATCGCGTACCGGGTGTCCAACTCTCCCGACAATTGAGCCAATACTGTCCAACAAAAGTTCAATCTGTCACCATGGTAGCCGATTTTATACGGCACAACCTTATAACAAGGTATTCTGTTTCCTTTACCTTTATGGAAATGGCATTCAAAATAACTGTTTAGTGGTTTATACGTCCCTAAAAGTTTGGCAAGTGTTTGGTTTTTAAACTTTAGTTCGTCCCATTGTCCACCTGGGTGATATTCGTTATGCACTTCCCGTCGTAATAGACCCTGAGTTGGCACACATATAGTGACCGCCGGTGGGCTAACCATGATTTCCGATTCAAAGCGTATGTTTGTTGTGGTTTCGTATGAGAAGTATATGAAACTGATTTCATACGTTTGGTATAGAAATCCACTCAATAGTAGTGTTTTCATTACTAAAGACATTATCGATATTTTGGGCCACATTTTTAGTCTATTATAATTTTGGATATCTATTACTTTAGTGAAAATGTCAATATATTCTTAGACGGTATTATTTCAAAACACTACATCATCATGGTTACTTGAATTGAATTAGCATTTAAATTTGAATTATATGAATAAAAATCTACATAATTTAAAATGTGTATACTGTATAAGTTGAAAATAACATTGATATTATAATTATAAATTATGTTTTTATACGAAATTATTAAATTATATTAAATGTAATTTTTATATATTTTATTTGTAAATGTTTTAAATTAAACAATGATATCGTTAATATTATCAATAATATAAAATTCTTCTATTGTTATCATAACCATAAGATTAACAGTACTCACAAATTGTAATTTTCAATATAAATTAAATTAAAAAATAACTTATTGCCAATAAATTTAATATATGGCGAGAATAGAAAAATTCCCCAAAAAAAATTATTTATGTATAATAACTATTTCAGAAATTACACATATTTTCGTAAAAATATTTTATTTTATAGCATTTCATCAAAATTATTAATAAAATTCTAAACTGAATAAAACTGATATCAAAACTTGCATTGATTATTGCCGTCGATGTCAAGCGTTCATTTCACGAACTCTCCCACCCCTTGTTCCCGGGAGTACAATGTGGGGCTCATTTCAAACTACAACTACATACGCAACTACAACTACATATGAATGGCTCATTCACATACAAACCTATCTCGTATACCGTATGCATAGCTATTGCATGCACTCCTATGCAGTACAAGCATAAGCAGTAACACAGATAGGTTTGTATGTGAATGAGACATTCATATGCAAACTAACTAACACTGTTACTATGAAAACCAACACTGAGCCAATACAACAAGGATTATACGCTTAAAATATTTTATTATTAAATAAAATTATTGTTTCTCCTCCGCATTGGAACAAAATTTGTGTTTTGAATGTTATTATTAATATTTGTATGAATATTGATAAAAATTGGCGCAACAACTGGTTTATTTTTAGTTTTGAATTTTATCATTAAAATAATAACCAATTGTGACAATAGGTTTGTAAACACAATAAAGTCAAACCCAAACCATAGGCCCAGAAGTGATCCGATGAATACCACGTACTCTTCAAATGACATTTTCAGTGATATCTCGTACACGACATCCGGTTCTGGAGGTAATAGTAATTGTATGGCGATATCGTCTTCTTTTTCTTCTAGAATAGTCACCGTATAGTCGACAGTATAATAATGTCTAATACAGTTAATACGATCACTGCATTCGCGCCGACATTTATAATCCATTACGTCTTCGTAATTATTTCCAATATGTGTCACATTATATGCCATATAATCGCTAATATTATACATAATGTAATTATTGGGAAATGTTGAGTATTTTCGGCTATACTCTCGAATAATGCATTCATTCACACAACCACGTTCATTCATATTATTTGGAAAACAATTACCACTATGTAGTTTGTGATTATATTTAATGGTGGTTTTTCTATACTTAACATTACCGCCATTGCTTTTGATAAATTCGAGTATGGTGAAATCTTTTCAGGAATAATCCCTGATCTGTTCGTTCCGAGAATGTATGAATATATAGAGCCAATTAATATCTGTGTCGGGTCTATGTTCTAAGCGCAAAGTCATCATGGTCGGACTTTCACTACCAGTTGTGTTCATTAAATACCGGGTGTCCGACTCACCAGTAAATTGTGACATTACTGTCCAACAAAAGTTATACAATTCATAATAATAGGCTATATTGTAGGGAACAACCCGTTTGCAGGGTATTGCATGTCGTTTAGCTTTATTAAAATCGCAGCTAAAATGGCTATCGAGTGGTTTATACGCCCACAGAATATTCTCAAACGATTGATTTTTAAATTTCCCTGCATCCCATTTTCCACCTGGGTGATATTTTGCCCGCACTTCTTGTTTGAAAAGTTCATGTGTTGGCACACATATTGTGACCGCCGGTGGGCTAACCATAGTCTCCGATTCAAAGCGTATGTTTGTTGTGGTTGTATGAGAAGTATATGAAACTGATTTCATACGTTTGGTATAGAAATCCACTCAATAGTAATGTTTTCATTATTAAAGACATTATCGATATTTTGGGCAACATTTTTATTCTGATATAACTTTTGGTATTATCTATTATTTTGGTAACAATGTCAATATATTCTTATTTATTTCAACTGTAATATTTCAAAACACTACATCACCATGGTTAGTTGAATTAAATTAACATTTGAATTACATAAACAAAAATTTACATATAAAAATTAAAATATAATAAATGTTAATTTTATATACAGTGAACATTCCATATAGTGGTCGAGCAGTTGGTATACATTTTTGGACACTGTATAGAATGTTCACTCTATTAAATGTATGCGGAATAGTAGTGACAATAAGTGTATATACTGTTAATACTAAAATAATCATTTATTTAGATTGTTTAATGTTATCGAGATAATAATTTCATATTTGTTTATCAATTTAAATATAACTTGTTCATTTTAAATAATTACAAGACAAAAAATAGTTGTCTCATATAATAAAACACTATAAAGAGCGTAAAAATAGTAAAATATAATCAAAATTAGCAAAATTTTGGCCACTATATAGAATTGACACTGTATAGAGAGTCACTATATGGAGCGGAAATAACATTACAGGTATACAGTGGCCGCCAAACTAAAATATTTTGGACACTATATGGAAAATACACTGTATAGAGCTTTACTATATGGAATGTTCACTGTATTATACTTGTAAACGTTTATAATTAAACAATGTTTCTATTAAAATTACCATAACAGTCTAACAACGAACATCTGACTTATAGATTATTTCTATTCATTCCCATAAATGTATTTGAACGATTGACCCAACTTTTATTGAATTGTATAATTTGTGAATTCAATGTATAAACCACGGCTGCTCACAGACATGTTTTCATTAGACGTAATTGTTGTACAATCATTGCATCAAATATCTAAATAGTATTCTTGAATACAAAGTCGTTCATAAATGATAAGACAAATTTTTGCCCCTGAGAGCATCCGTGATATAAACAAATGTAAAAACAATTAAATGTTTTCAAAAACTTGAATATTTATAATAATTAACACAATATTATTTTAAAGAGTTAATATGATAATTATTTCAAACTCTATTTTTAGGAAATATATTAACACTCATATGTTGTAGGAATTAATTAATATATGTAGAATTTTTAGTGAATTGTAGATATTTGTGAAATTTAGATTTATTTGAGACACTAGCATTTAAGTTTAATTTAAAATATTTAAATTTCAAAATAATTTAGATAATTATTGATAATAATACTAGTACATATTAATTGACAGAATTTATAACAAAACTTTAATTTAAAAATGAATAATTATTAAAATTGGAAATGGATGATTAAAAAATAGATGAGTTTATAGTAAACCCATTACTAAAATACAGCGACAGATGTGATGACAATCGCCAATACAATTAAAATTATCCCAAGACATAGACCTCTCTGCAAAACCAATGGGAAATTTTAAATTACAAATTATGTGTATCAATGAATTCATAATTTAATCATCAATTCCGGTCCAATCGATCATTTGATTAAAACTAAAAATAATGCAATTTATAAAACAATCACACTTTTGTTAATTACAATTATATGCAATTCATTTTTATGTCCGAAATAGAAGTTATAATTTTTATTTTGAATATAATTTAAAAATAATACTTAATTTATGGATATGTGTCATACCTTTCTTGCCTTTGCTTTACACATTTTACATTGTATGCGTGTTATGTCACGTATGCCGTCGTCGACGTATGCTTTCGATGTGAGCACTTGTGTCTCAATTCTGTTGATTGTCTCTCCCTTTAAACACAATTAATTTTTTTGTAATATTTCACACATTTATAATAAACGAGATTAAAAACAGTAAATAACCGATAAATACCTGATTCTCAATAAGAAGTTCCATATCAATGAACATATCATGCAATTCACGAATACTATTACCGAGTTTAATAATATCCGCATATCTGGCCTGAATGTCAGCCACTGATTGTCTGGCCTGTTGTGTGTCTGTAATTATCTAATCGTGATAGAACACAAACATATCAAACAAGGATTATGAGCAATTCGTGCGGCTAACTGCAATTCTGGATTATCTTATAATGTTGCAACAGATTTAGCATTACGCCATAGGATTAACATTATTAATATAATAATATTAGCCTTATATTAACGTATAATAATAAACTTAAAACAATTATCAGTTGAAATTGCAGGTGAAAAATGTGCGCTCATATGAGTTATCAAATGACATACTTCTTGGGTAAAAATGTTGGGATTGCCCGACTCTAACATCTCCTCAATTTCCTGGTTAGTCAACTGACGACCAGCTGTTGAGACAAACGTATGAATCGTTTAGATAAAGAGATGGGAAATAATTGTCACACGATTTACACTCACTTATATGCGATTGTCTGACGATCCGAGCCATGCATTTCTCCCGATAGTCGACTTGTGTCCGATTGTAATCATTCATAACATCGATAAACAGCCGCAATAACATCGAGTGCTAAACTTTCTTAATACGTAAGTCGACACCAATGGCACCGCTTATCTCCATCGCCGAGATATTCATTTCTATCGCTGACACAAACTGCAAATCAATATTAAAATAGTCACCTGGGTCACATGGATTCATGTTAAACTATCGGAGTTTGTATAATACAGTCAAACTTCTATTCTGTCAACTTTTCTATGTTATCAACCAAATGACCTGGGACCGTTTTTGTTGATAACATAGATGTTTGACTGTAACCATAAAGAAACTGATTTCTCTTACGACTAAAGGGTTATTAGCTTTGACTTGATATGAATACCGCAAAAAAGTGATTAAAACCTTTTAACTTATTTCTCACTTTACTAGTCGTCCGCTTCGTGTCTGCCATCAATTCCTCTAATTGTTTCTTGAGATCTGATTCGAGAGACAAATCAAACAAATGATTACACAATGAACGAGACATTAATGGCCAACGAATAGAGAAAACACATACTCTCATCATTTGCGGGCGAACTCAAGATTGTTGAATGGATTCGTTTCACTTCTTCCACATTTGCTGATATATTGTCGATGTTTTGGCCAATCATTTCCACCTATGGATAAAATAAATGTCAAATTGTTACTCAATTGTTGGCCATTTGAGGGTCAATAGCTTATTAAGCAAACCTCTTGTATAAATGCATGCATTGGATTAGAAATTGATATATTTTGGCCGATAATCATCACGTGATTGTCCGCATCCGTCTGAGCCTACAATTATATAATACGTAAAAACTTGGCCAAAGCAAGTGTCAGATAAGTTGTAGATATACATCCCGGAGCTCATGGAGCCTATCCTTAACCATTGTTTGGTTCGATGTGACGATCAAAATAAATGAACACAAAAAATGTCTACAAAAAACAATATTGTTATCAAAATCTGATAATTGATATATTAATTATAATAATTAATTTGAAAATAATGTTAACATAATTTTAATACATATCCCTTTATAATTATTTTGTAAAACAAAAATGTTACCGCTTTGGAAATATCTATGATATTCTATTATTGAAATACACAATTTGAATAATAAATATCGCATATTATTTGCCTTTTATAATTAAATTATTATTGATTTGTGTCTGAAATAGAAATAATTATGTCTTATAACATTTAGGTATAACTCCCTTTTATTTTGTTTAGTATAACATTTTATAAATTATATATTTTAATTATTTACTCACATTTCATATAACTTACTTTATTGTATAATTAGTTTATCGAAGCAATAAATTTAATATATTTCTGTTTCTTTTTCTCATTGAAAGGTATTGTGATTTTCGAGAAATATTATTTATATTAACAGAAATATTGTTTGCATTATTAATTACAAAAGCATTTGTTTTATTAATTTGAATTTTATTGTTGATTATGTTGTATAACTTCATAACCAATTGTGACAATAGGTTTGTAAACACAATAAAGTCAAACCCAAACCATAGACCCAGAAGTGATCCGATGAGCACAACGTACTCTTCAAATGACATTTTCAGTGATATTTCGTACACGACATCCGGTTCTGGAGGTAATTGTAATTGAATGCGAAATGTATTGATACTAATATAACGTTGAACATCTAATGTATAATCGATATTAAAATAATGTCTAATACACTCAATACGATCACTGCATTCGCGCCGACATTTATACTCAATTATAGCATCGCTTTTATTCCCGAAATGTGTCACATTATATGCCTTATAATCGCTATTATAATACATAATGAAATTATTGGGAAATGTTGAATATGTTTGGCAATATTCCCGGATTATGCATTCGTTAAGACAATCACGTTTATTTATTTCATTTGAGAAACATTTATCATATTTCATTTTGTAATTGTACTTGATGGTTGTTTTACCATATTTAATATTACACACATCACTTTTTGAAATGTCAATTATATTTATATCTTTCCGGGAAAAGTTGCGGACTTTTGCCGAACGGGAATGAATGTACAAAATGAACCAATTGAGTGATACATGTGTACGGTGTGTGAACTCCATTGACATTATGCCTAACTGTTCGTTACCAGTGGTGTTCATCGCATACCGGGTGTCCAACTCGTGCGCCCATTGAGACAATACTGTCCAACAAAAGTAACTAGAGTAATGAAAATAATAGGCTATTTCATACGCGACCACCCGATTACAGGGCATATCATTCCCATTTGCTTTACGAAAAATACATACAAAATAAGTATCAAGTGGTCTAAATGCTTATACCTTGTTTCTTATTGATTGGTTATTAAATAGTTTTTCATCGAATACTTTTGTTTTTGGTGTTAAATACTGTTTTCTCACTTCCGGTCGTATCAGAAAATTAGACACACATATAGTGAGCGCCGGCGGACTGACCAATGTTTCCGATTCAAAGCGTATGTTTGTTGTGGTTTTGTATGAGAAGTATATGAAATTGATTTCATACTTTTGGTATAGAAATCCACTCAATAGTAATGCTTTCAATAGAAAAATTTTTAATGACATTTTAGATGACAATATATAAATTATTTAATAATTAATCATCATGTAACTTTTACTTAATATAGATTTAGTATATTGAATAAACCTTCATGTAATTTATAAACACACCGAATGGAGATTGTTGTTTCTAATATGATTTTCACAAAGTTAAAACATGAGATGTATCCAATATGCATAATTTCTAAGAGACTTAGAAAATTTCAAAACTCAAAAACTAAATATCCAATTTTAACAATCTTTATACTTTAATATTCATTATAAAAAATTAGTCAATATGTATATTTGGATTTTTCTTATTACTACAAAAATTTGAGTCATAGAACCTTTTACTTTCCATAGAACTTATGCATTTTGTATACATCTCATGTTTTAACCATGTGAAATTCATATTGTCTTTATAAATATCTATTTTAATAAAAGTGGTGATGAACTGTATTTTCCAAACAATACATTACCATGGTTATTTAAGTTGAATTAACATTTGAATTATAATTACAATAATAAAATTTGCATAAATTTAAATATGTATTGAAATAGAAAAAAAACAATATAAGCCAAAAAGATGTAATATTTAAATTATATTGAATTTCAATGAATTTGCAATGCTTTACAATTAATGACAGTTCATTGTTATGTGATAATAATGATCATAATGAAATTAAACTATAATTTTTCTTCAAAGAACAAAACATTTTAATCGTTTATAATTAAAGATTGAGATATAAAATGAACAATTTTTACTATTAATGACCACAACATATACATGGTCAAATAATAGTCCCCTACCCCAACAAACATTGTAACACAATTACATGTCTGTAATGACTACATCACCGACCGTTTCCTTTAAATATAGATTTAATTTAATATTAAAATATTGAATAAAAATGCTATAATTTTAAAATTGGACTATTTTACCAAATTATTGTTTCTTTCCCGCTTTGAAATATAGTTTGTGTTTTGGATAATATTATTAGTATTAATACGCATACACGTAGTATTGATTACAATGTGTTGATCCATCTTGATTATAGTGCAAAATTTGATAACCAATTGTGACAAAACATCTGAAAAAGTAATGAATGAAATACCAAACCATAGGCCCAGAAGTGATCCGATGAACACAACGTACTCTTCAAATGACATTTTCAGTGATATCTCGTACACGACATCCGGTTCTGAAGGTAATAGTAATCGTAGTCTAAAATTTTGTGTAATAGCCCTCGAAATTGCACATCTAAAGTTAACCATGTAATAATGTTTTGTGCACTCAATACGATCGCTGCATTCGCGCCGACATTTATCTTGTATACTATTGTCTCGTTTAGTCGCAAAATGTGTCACATTATATGCATTATAATCGCTATTATTATACACAATGAAATAATCGGGAAATTTTGAATATCTTCCCACATATTCCCGGATTATACAGTCGTTACGGCAATTGTGTCCAGTGATGTCATTTGTGAAACACTTACCATGATTCATTTTATACTTTAAAATAGTGCTAATTTTGCGATACTTAATATAACATATGTTACTTAACGCGATATCGAGTGCATTCATATCTCGTCGATAATATTGCCGGATCTGTTCATTACGTGAGTGAACGTAAACACTAAGGTATGGAATCTTGATTTCACGTCTATTTCTAAATTTCATTGTTAATATACTTAACCGTTCAATACGTGTGTCGTTCATCACATACCGGGTGTCCGACTCGTGCGCCCATTGAGACAATACTGTCCAACAGAAATTAGTTTCGTGTGAATAATAACCTTGTTTATACAATACCACATCGTTACAGTGGATCTTATTACGAAATATACACTCAAAATAGCTATCGATAGGTTTGAATGACAAAAAAACTTTCTTTATTGATTGGTTTTGAAATATAGTTTCATAAAATGACCCATAAATAGAGCTATTATATTGTGACTTCACATCCGCTCGTATGAGACCATAAATATGTGTGCATATCGTGAGCGCCGACGGACTGACCACTGTTTCCGATTCAAACCTTATGGTTGTTGTCGTTTTGTATGAGAAGTATATGAAACTGATTTCATACGTTTGGTATAGAAATCCACTCAATAGTAATGCTTTCAAGAATACAGTTCTAATAGATATTTTTGGCCACATTTAGATGTTTATAATTTTTTGTTAATATTTATTATTACTTACACTACTAATAATTTTAGTAAAATATGTCAACATATTCCTAAACTGTACGAAAACTCACATGGG